AATAAAATCGCCTACATATGTTAAATTCTTATGTGTAAAACAACCATGTAAAATCAGAAAATTAAATGATATTGCTTATGACAAACAACTGAATCCATCATTTGATATATTTGGGAAGCTTTATCAATTATATATACTGTACAAAAATGAAAATAGAAAAGATTAAGAGAAACAATGAAACATTTTTCAAAAGATGAAAAATAATATAAAAGCAATCAGTTGAATATTTCCCTTTTCTTTCTGATTTTTTTGAAACGAAAAAATATTGAAAAAAATATAAAACTATGTGGAAAACTTAATACTCCGAAATAAAAAATAAAGCAAAAGTGTACTTGCAAATTTGAAGTACAAAAAAGAAGGGAACACTTAATTTTTTTTTTTTTTTTTTATAAGAAATGATCACCATCATCCGATGTAAAATTTTATGATATGAATTACAATACATAATTGGGGATTATGGAAAAATTTTTCTTATATAGCTTTCTATAATATAAAATGAATGAAAAGAAATTTCAAAGGGCAATTTAAAGAATTTTTTACGTCCACTGGAAGCAAAAAACGTGAAACATGATATAGTATATATTTAAAATTAAAATAAAACGTGAAGATTGCAGTTTAAAATGAATGAAACTTTCCTGTATATTACGCAATTAAAAATAACATGAATCATTTGCATGATCATATTCATGCAGATTAATTGAAAAAGTATTTCAAAGATTTCAATATGAAAATAAGACAAACATATCATATTTGATAATCTGTAATACATATCATATCATACATTTGACAGAAAAGAAAAAAAAAACGAATTCAATATTAACACCAGCGAAGCCATACTATACATTGTTTATTTTAAAAATAAATTTGAAAAAGGGCAAAAGGAATGGGAAACAATGATATTAGCAAGGTCAAACTTACTGAAATGTTATTTTATCTTATCCAGAACAGAAAAAAAAAACGAAAAGTTGAAATTTTAGTTTAGGTTATCCAAGCAGTTAAAATACCTACATAGCTTAGGTTATCTTTTCAATGGGATAATTTGGACTATTAATATTTAAAAAAAAAACATTAGAACGAATTGCATTTCGCTGTCGTTTAGCTATCCGATTGAGGCATGAACATCAAAAGATACTAATTGAATTTTATGATGAAAGCTAAAAAATCATCACTACATTCATTGCCCTGCAAAATTATGTAACCATAGTGATTTATAAATATTAATCCGGTAATTTAATTCCTAAAATTCGGAAATTAACATTGAACTATCTAACCTACTTTCCATTGTTATTTATTATTTTGATTCATCTTTTTGAGATATATTGAAATTAAACCAACTGTTATGTATCTCCTTCATCCATAACTGTAAGAAATGTTTTTAAGTTCGTTCATTTGAGCGAGAGCTAATAATCGGTTTAAATTTTTGTAATTATTTTAAGTGCCATTTGATTATTAGTTACATATCGTTTAAAAATATTTTTAACAAATATATGGTGGTTTTTTAATTTCAAGATGTACACTAATAATAAGTTGTTATTAATGTTTTCTTTTTTTGATTTCAACGGCAGTACTTATTTTCAATCTGAAAAAGATTTTGAAAGTACTTTCGGAATTTTTTCCTGGACTAAATTTTTAGATCAGTTTTGGGAATTTCTATTTTAGGTCTTTTTTAGCATTTCGATTTTTTGAATGATATATAGAAACATGTCTTTTCAACAATGAAACAATAAATTCACAAATATAACATTATCATCTATATAATTCACAAGATTTCAACTTCCAGCAATGAAATAGTTGGATTAAAGAAAATCTCTCTCTCCTCAATACCAATTAAATTCACTAATTTTTGACAAAATACATCACTAATTATAGCTAATAAATAAACTTAAAAATTCAATAAAACAATGATTGACCAATAAATGCAGAAAAGAATGCAATGAATAAATATCATGTAAACTCAGTGAATATAAAAAATATTAACGCTTTAATGACTTTTTTCACGAAAAAAAAGAAAAACTATTATCACATTTTAATTTGACACAGTTTAAACCAAGGAAAGGCAACTATTTATCAATTTTGATACAATCAAACACATACAACATTGCATCATTGCATTTTATAAAAAAACACATTTACAGTTTTAAATTAAGGAATTTAATACCTTCAAAATCATAGAAAACTGAATTTAATTTCAATCTAATTTAATTTAACTCCATCGAACACACCTCATTCAGATCCAACTTAACTTCGATCTATTTTATAGCATATTCTAAATTAATTATTTACTTCAGTTAATTTCATCCAATTTAAATTCTCAATTCTTGCTACATTCCATGCTGCGGCATTATAATAATCAACACACCTCACTAAAAAGCTGAAATACTTTGGAATTTCCATAATCAAAAAAAAAAAAACTAATAACTTTACTTCAATGCGCTCCTCACGTAAAGAACATAAATTTTAGACTACTAAGGATGGAAAATAAAATGAAGCAAGCTTTTTTTTTTCGAAACTGTTAATTGCTAGCACTCGATATTATCCCCGATACGCTCTACTTTGAATGCAACGTTAAATTATCAATTCAGTTTTATTTTCGACTCAAAATGGACTTCACTTTCATTTTTAGTTTAAATGTAAAAAAAAATCCATAATAATCAAGCGGTAGTAACAGCAGTCGTAATATTGAAACAAAACAAAGAGACAGAGAGAGCGAGGAAAGAAGAAAGAACAAACATTTCGAAAATTATAAAACAAATTTGAAATGGTGGAAAATTATTTCAGCTTCACAAATTAATTGTTGGCATCAATTTACAATGGGAAAACAACAAAAAACCAACAGGTTAGGGCAAAGCAGGCCTGCAAACGTAAAAATAACATGAATAATATGAATTACAGAGAAATATTTTTGGTAATAAAATAGAATGGTTTGACGACTAATATCATAAGCTTTGGTAGAAAAGCTTAGGTAAGATACAACAATAAATATAAAGTTTCTATAAAGTAATTTTAACAGTTGGCACAGCTATTTCATTTTTTCCAGAAAAAAGAAAGAAACTTTACTAGATGGTCAACGTCAATGCTACATTGTGTATTGATTTATCGACGAAAGACACATTGCATTGGAGTCTCTACTCTGGTAATATCCTAGAAATTTACAAAAAAAAAAAGACTCTTCCACAGCAGCAAAAAGAGGAATACATTTTGTTCACCTAATTCTGGACAAAAGACAGATAAGAAAATCAATTAACAAAACAGACAATGAAAGCATATAAATAGTTCATGGTCACAATTAAATTGATCAGTTGCAAAAAGATCTAACATGTCAGAGAAAAAAGTGGAAAAAGAAATCAGAAAAAAATAAACACATAGTGAATTACAAACACAGTGAATTACAAAAAACAGTTAACTAATTACATTTTTTTTTTTACTAAAAGCATACACTAATACTAAAAATCGAATTCCATAATTCCAGTGAATGCATAATAGCATATAAATAAGGAAAAATAAGGGCATAAAGGGCTATAATTATGCTCTCTAGAAGGGTAAGATAAACAGTTCCACATAAATTTAAGCTATGAAACTCAGCTAAAAATCGTCGGTAGTTTGATGGATAATCGGTATAGCAACAACAGATCAGAGAAACATTATAACTCACGAAAATTGCCCGTTACTTTTTTAGTGATGTATTCAAACATTGAATCTTTCCAGATTGAGAGAAATGCATTGCTCTATTGTAGTAAATACAAAAACAAGCAAGCTTTTTTCCAATCATATATTTTTTCACAGCTTGTAAACTTTTCTTTCTATTAACTATAGCCTATCATAACTGATATTCTGCAATTTTTCCTCATCCGTCAGTAAGAAAACAGTCTCCCATATCCAAGGAAGTTCCTAAAAATTTAATAAATTTATCTTTTCTGCGGCGAAACATTTTGAAAAAGCCTAAAAATAAAACTGGCAGGTATACTTTTAAATAAACAACGGTACTTTTCATTTCTTAATGAACTCCGATGGGCTATTTAAGCTCTGAGAGTTAGACGTTGATGATGTGGAACCGCTAATAGATGAAGGGGTTGGCGACGAACTTGGCCTATTTCCTACTTGGCGTAAATCATTTGTAGTTGAATCCGGCAATGCACGCATCTGAAAATTCACGAAAGTTGTAACAAACAAACAGAAAGACTGTTTCTGCATATACAGATATAACAAGGACTTAAACAGTGGCTTTTTAAAAAATAAAGTTTAATTTCATAAAAGTTAGACGCCAATTCCCTCTAACAAATATATCAAAAATAGTGAGCACTTGCTAATCTTAATACTTTTGATTGTCTAATTCAGATATAAACATTCGTATTTCAAGCGTTCCGAATGACTCAATTTACTTACTGATAACTGTTCATTGCTAGTAGTTGAATCAGCTATCGGCGATGTAGCTGTCGGTGTTTGAGATGTGATTAAAGCATTTGTTGGAGGTGTTGAAAGGGAAATGACACCAGGTACTGATATACTGAAAAAACAACATAAATTCTATAAGATTCTTCACTAGCAATATCGCGTTTAAATACCCTAACAAAGTATATGCCACATTGTCACTGTTACCCATTGCAATGAATAAATCCTTCCTCTTTGTTCTTATACCTCTAATAAATTTATCAAATCAGAATATCTATTTTCATATCGGTAGAAGAATTTTTTATTAAAAAATATGATTTGAAACAGTAATTCTGAAGTAAAATTTACTTTGAAGCAGATGAATCCGATCGTGCATCCGAAGAACTCTGAAGTGGAAATGTCCCGTTATGCGGAGAACGACTATTTTCGTTGAAATAATTCAAAAACTGATTCGAAACTAAAACCATCAAAGTGTAAACAGTAATGAGGTGTATCAAGTATACATAATTTTCCCTTATACTCAAACAGTCTTAATAAATTGTCATTAATAATCAAAATTCGATAATCTAGACAGTTTCTATCTATAATAATAACAAAAATAAAAACTCGTCTCACATACCTTCTTTCAACAACGCTTGGTCTGCTGAACCGGATGAACCGCTAGAAGCAGTGATCACATTGTGAACAATACTCGAATATTCTTCATCAGTCAACGGTCCTCTAGATGGTATACGCACACCAGGAATTGGAGTACCAAGAGTTGAGCTTGAAGCAGGCACGGGTGTACTACGTGGAGTGGTCAGGGGGCTGTTCAGAGTAAAAGGTACTGGTGAACCCATAGCTGAGTTGCATGCATTATCAAACAGTTGCTGCTGCAAATGCCTTTCTCATGCTCATATCTTGTACGATTAAGTTTCCAACAGCAAGAAAATTGTGCTTAATTTTATTATTGGTTATTGATTTCGACCTTTTTAGAAATTCAAACTTTACGTTTGGTCTGGCACCGAGCATAAATGAGCAGGGAAGCAGTGAGAGGAGAGGGGAAAGGATGGGAATAAACGAAAAAGCATAGTGATTAAACCTTCACAAGACAACCTTGGGAATTCATATCCTCCACTGTTTCCAATTATTTGAATTGCATGGCGTCTTACTCCTATTTAGCAATACTCATCCAAAAACCAGAAAATCAAAAAATCTTTGAATCTTTTAAGACATGATCACAGGGAGTGAAATGTAACTTTTAGCATTGCTGTCTATATCAAGAAAAGCGATATCTATCATTGAAATTATTAATGTTAAATTGAACCTAAAGTTAAGTCCAACTTAATTTAGCAGAAAATTTTTTCTTTTGCAAAATGATATTATATATATATATATATATATTTTACAGAATTACCTGTCTTGATACAATATGACTTATTTTAGCATCACGAGCAGCGGCTGCTGCAGCATTGCTATTCGTATCGTCAATGTTAGAGATAAACGATGGACGATGTGCCACAACAGGTCGCGGAGTTACCAGTAACTAAAAACAAAAAAGGTAAAAAAAAATGTATCCTCAAAACTCAAACTTCCAACTTACTCAACTGTTAGCATATCCAGACGTCACAGACTCACATTGATAAATCTTGAAATCGCTTTCTCCGTAGCTCTCAATCTTGTTAATAGAAAACTTAAAAATAAAAAAACAATAATGTTCCACAAATTTTACACAGCTCATTCTTTAAATATGAAAGCAAGCAGAGAATTGGAAATAATACCTGAGGATTTCCTGGCTTAGTCGTGAATTCTCGGACTGGCTGATCCAACAATGCAACCTTCTTCGCAATCCGTGCTTCCACTTCAGCAGCGCTGACGGCATCATGTTCCAATAAGCGCCTTTCATCTATGATCACTGCTTGCGTGGAAGAACCAGGTGGCGAAATATCCAAACTGATACGCTTTACCGAATTTTGACTTTCGATGCTATGCAACACAGTACTAAAATAGGATTATCAAACTTATAGTAATAAAATCATTAGACATAATATCGCTATCAACTGCTAAACGATAACAATTAAGTGGAGTGTTTTACGGTGTGTTTCTCTTTTTTAAAAAAAAACAAAAACAAAATATGAATAGCATTAATGCCATTTTTCACAAAACCGATTTGCTTGATCAAATATAGGATTATTTAAGAATGAGTTTGCCTCATACATTCCAATTTATGCTGAGATTACACAAAAGCATTTTTAATTTAACACGGTAGTTAAATTCACAAAGTTAGAACTTAATTAAAAAATATAATGTTGCAAGAATTTATGGGATGAGTGCGTTAGAAAACACAACCCATATGAATAAAAAAGGAGATTCAAATTGGTTGAATAACGCAACACACCTGAAGCTGATGACATCACCGTTTGATGTTGTGAACTTTGTTGGACTTGAATGATGTATGTCGACAATATTTAAGCCTGAAGAATCTCGCAAAGTCATATCAAAATCACTCTGAGAGACCAAATGTTGTTGTTGTTGATGCACATTACGATTACTCACAGTGACATTACCCATTTCTACAGTCGTAGGCGGCAATCGTCCATTAGTTGACGAATTTGGAGAATGATTACGTTTCCTAAAATAACAGTGAGCACAATTAATTTTATTTGTAGTTGAAAAATCGTAAAATAACTGTATGACGAAGAAAATATTAAGATTTTGTCGCACACGCCGATAACCAAATAAACAAAAATATGCTGCATTGGCGTTCAAATTCAGAAGCTTGGTTACGCTTATAAGATGCAACAGAATCAAGAAATTCTGCTGCAGATCTGTATAATATTTATACAAATTCCTGAGACATAATAATCTTAATAACACTGAAATGTACTGAAAATTCTGAAATGAAATTTTACCTGAATATAACAACTTGTTCTACATCTTGAGCAGTTTCACTGGGATTTCGTACTCTGACGTCGCGAGTTAAACGAGTAAATGCAGTTACAGTACCAATACCTGAAATTTAATGATCAATAAACTGTTAGTGTTTTCAATTATTAGTAATACAAATTTCTTTTAGTATTACTTATCATTTCACAAAACATGAAAATAATGAAAAATATTTTGTTAAATTAATTATAAATACACAAACTCTCATCTGGGATAAATGGAAAAAAGAACATGAACAAATCGCCACATTTTGCCAAATGGCATGCAAATTTCACATTAAAACTGAAATAAACCATAATGAATTTCTAGGGAATCTCTTACATTTTGATAAAAACCGATCTAAACATATTTTTTCAGTAATCGGCGGCTCTTTGCATAAAGGTGGAAAATGACAAAATATTAAATAAGAACTACAAATCACCATTTAAAGAGTTTATGATCGTGATTCATGAAAAATAAGATGTAACTTTCTGGACAAACAAACAGAAAAAAAAGTACTGAAGGGATCGCGAACTTTGTTATTACATAAGGTCGTGATCTTTGTTAACACGTTTTCTGCAGTATCCCATAACTTCTCTCACATTCAGCGCGCTTTTTCTTATTTTGGTTTTGTTATCTGTGAAATAAATTGTTTGTGTCAGCTCATCTTATAGCTAAACAGCTCAATGAACGATATTCATAAGGATATTCATCGAGAAAGAAAAATAACGTAATCCAACAATATACACAACAAAGAGCCTAAAATAATTTGTAGCGAGAGAAAAAAACTAACATTGTGGAGTTACTGTGGATGCAGAGGTGTTCACAAACTCTCTCTTCTGCTGGCCAGGATGATGTATTTGATAGCCTTCAGACAAGCGACTTGGTTGTCGAGCTGTTGAAGTAGGTGCAAGTAAACTTTCACATGGTGATCTAAAAATATTCTACAATTCGACATAAATTTGCTAAAACTGTCAGGCTGACTCATACTGCGGAGGTTCCTTAATGTTGCGCTTGAGATACTGATTGTAAACATCCTCAGTAATATCAGGTGCATTAAAACTGTTTCATTAACATCGACCGATAAAATACTTCTAATATCTTCGCTCTCTATAATCCATCCATGGATTATGTCATCTTTCAATGATTAAAACTCAAATTTCACTGCTAACAAATTTCACTTTTTTTACTGTTAACTGAATAGGGAAAGTGAATAAAAAATCACAAATTTCACTGCTAAGTGAGTAGGAAATCTGTCTATGTTAAATATCTCTAAAAAAAATTTGTTCTAATCGTATCAGCAAAGTGCTGATACGATTAGAACAAATTTAAATGACTGAATGAAGTAAAGAAAACATTATAAGAATTTAAGAAAAATTCACCCTGCTCTTGGACGTAATCCACTCGCATCACGGTGCATCAAAGCTGTTTCATTCATACCAGCTGATCCGACGCTCCCAATAGTTTCGCTTGCTGAATGATGTCTTTCTTGATGTAATTCGCTGCCATGTTGTCCAGTGGGAAGATGGGAGACGATTCTTACAGTATTACTTCGACTTCCACCGTCCAGTGCATCTTCTCTGATCAAACGTTGTTGTCCATCATTCGATGTTGAAACCGTAAAGGGCGGTCTGCAGGTCTTTAATGTTATTGCAAAAGAAATAAAAATGTAAGTAGGATCTACACTCACAAATAAAACATTTCGTGCTAACATTTCATGCCATAAAGCGGTATATTAATCTTACGCATAATATGTCATTTGCAGAATTGATGTATAAGACTGTTACACATCTAAGATGACTACTTTTTTAAGAAATTTTCTGCTATTCTTATGCAATTCTAAAAAAATATTCGATAAAAAAATAACCTCAGTTGTACAAGCCTTGTTCCTTCAACCGCACCTTGCACCACAAGGGTCCTGAAACAACTCAATCTGAACTTCCCTTTGAAATTCCCATCAATTCACAAAATTTTCTAATAGAATACCGCAGAAAAAAAAGCCCACTAAACAGCAGAATTATGCTAATATTAGGAGCAAAAAATACCTTTTATTACTTGCAGTCCCATCATCGCTTCGTTTAATCTGAATATATATTGGTTGACCAACAATACGTCCGCCAATTAACTGATGCACCTCTTCGTTGACACTTCCCACACTATCTCGTGAGGCATGTCGACTGCGTTTTTCTAATGGTTCGCTAGTCTGAAATTGAAAGATCTTTTATTCTAAACAACGGGAACAACATTAATTTCTGTGTTGAAACCTATGTATGCCTTTAGTTTGTGCATTTTACAAGACCCAATTTATGTTTTCTTAAACTAACTATTACATACAAATTCATCTTCAGGATGTTTGGCAACCAAAGCATATTTATTAGACACTTTTACCTGCATAAGATCTAAAACTAAATCTACCAGAAAAGCATTTGTCAATTTTCTTCTTGTATATACTAAATCCAGCAAAAAAATTAAAAGAAAAATAAAGTACGTCATCAGATAAGAGATTGGGATGCTCAAAGTCTGGATGCGTCAAGTCTGTTTCCAGCGCATCGGCAATTGTTACCATTGCCCCCACCTGGGGTGTTCCACCTGATCCACTCAAACTATTGCCTCGCATTCTGGTATCTAAATAGAACCGCTGAAATTTACATATCTATTCCTGATCAACAAAAAATTAGGCACTCAAAAGACAACTCTGGTAAGCTGACCGCCAAGATAATGAACTGTGATTTATTTTCATAAACAATCTAATTACACTTTTATTCATATCATATTGCCATTAAGTGACTCATCGATAACGGTCCTAATATTTAATATCATCTTTAAATAATAGGAGCGTTATCGATGAGTCACTCTTTAAATTTTTAAATAATAAAATGCAATCCTATTGAAAGGATCACATTTTCATGAACTGATTTTATCCTGAGCTCGTTTTACCATTTTCGCCCTATTCGCTAGGCCATCTTGAAAAACAAACATATTTAGAATGGCCCTTTTTCGAACGTAGAATAATGCTGACGGTCCAAGAGCTGCCTAGGAGGCAGAAATTTAATTACCAGTGCTTTCAATGACATTACGACCATCAGATATTCGATAATCCGCCGATACAGTTGGTGCAGAAGTAGGAGCAACGTGTCGTCGTGATGATGACAATGATGGCGGCGGGCTGTTCGGTGACTGCCATTCCAAATCGTTATACGGTTCTTCTTTTTGTGGGATGATTTCTGCTGGTGTACGTGCTTCGCCTTCAACCAGTGTTATTATTGAAGCTGTAAACATTGGGCAATTATTTATTCCTCACTTAAAGTTCAGTTTGAAGAAATACGGAAGTAAAATGAAATAGTAAAGAGACGGTTTTATTGGACTGCATAATCTGAGAAAAAATTTTAAACGGACAAAACAATCAACAACAGCATGCTAACTATTAAAATCATGCAACTAATGTTTTTGAATGTCAACATCAAATTTCTTTATTTAGAAAAGTTCGAGATATCAATGACAATCCATGAAACTACTCCCGACCCGAAACACATACATGTTTTTTACCTCCAGAAAACCGCTCTAAGCAAAATCATAGATTTTAATTCATGCATCTAAAGGAATCATGAAATCATTAGAAATGTATCATTCACGACGAAATACATAAAATGCAATGAACAGCAAATAGTTAAATTACGATTCAATGACTAAAAAGCTGTAACTTCGTTATGATCAACGATTTGATGACGAAAATAATAAACATAAAACAAAGAAGTAAAACAAGAAACGACATTTATAAATGATGTGCTGATATAAAAAACAAAGAGATGAAAGAACAGTCCTGAATTAAATGATTGGTAATTTGTTAAGCGCTTCCTCTCATGATGAGCAAAAAGAATGATAAATTAAAGCCTCTGATTCGGTCTACAGAAGCGAATGAAGCAAGTTTCCTATTTTCTTCTTACTTTATTCCAAAAAAAGGAAAAAACAAAACAAAAGTTAATGACAGTAAACTATTATATTACAGTTAGTAAATTTATACAAAACACAACCGGAAAAGGGTAAAAGGGATAAGTTTGATGGGAGTAATGCAACAATAATCAAAAAAACGTACGTCTTGTCAGAGTCTTCAGTTCATAAGCAGTAAACACACCAGTTCCCCAAATACCTTCATGCACTGCCAATTTGTCAGGATCTGTAAGAGTAAACTTTAAATTGATGAATACGACCTTTTGATTGATTGAATTATAACCATTTACTAAACAGTATCTAGAATTTTATGAAATTAAATCTTTTTTTTTCTCTTGAAAATTAAACAGACAGCCAACGCAACGAGAACATATACCATAATGCTCAGTGATACTAAGTTTAATTAATTCAAATCAATGGAAAAATAATTTAGATGGCATGATTATTCACAATTGACTTCAAAAGGAAGCAAAAACAGCTCCTCAAAATGATATAACCTAGCCATTTCTTTTAAAATGAAAACGTTAAAACCTTTTTCATCGCTTTCATCCTCAGCAGCATCCGGATTTGTTGTATGTATAAAATTTGCCAGAAACAAATCTAATTCACGCACAGCTATACTAATATGATAAGGATTTACACATAAACTTGGAAATGCACATTCAGAACATTTTTCCAGACGTTCACCATCCGTACTTTCTAGAGGAATTCCCTGGAATCAGAAGTTTCCGTGCCAACTAGCCATTATTACATTTTGTATTGCAGATAATTTAAAAATCCCAAATAAATCAAGACTAAATTAGTTTATATGAGATGAATTAGGTAAGACTACAAGTTGAAAATATCAAAGTTATCGAGTATGAATTCATAATTCATCCATCAAAATAAAGAAAAATATTAAAACTGATTTACTCTTTTCCATACCTTGAATAAAATGACCATCACTAAATCAAGACGCCATACTTTGTCTGCTTGTCGTAGACAGTCGATTCGTCGCATCTTTCCTTTTTGATCAGGATTTGATAGTATGCATACTGCCGGCCTTTGTCCTGTGACACAAAGGACAAAATCCTCCCGACAATGAGGTTGTATATCTTTCCTTAGTTTGCCAAGTAATCGTCCTGCCCATTTCTGTTTGATTTCCACCCGCTCATTCTGTAAATTTAAAGCTTAAAAAAGAAAGAACCTTTATTTATTAAATAAAACACAAAGTTATTTCAAAAGAATTCAATTTTCATTCTTATATTTCCCTAATATCTCAATATGTCACGTGTTTTTATTTCTACGGCGGCATCAAACAGTCGAGGCCAAAATTCATGCGGGTGGTTTGAGAATCACTAGAACCGAAAATTTCCATCAAGATATCCATGTTCCGCACATGCTTCACATGTTACAGTTTTGATGATGTTCAAGTTTAATAAAATTCTATTTAAGTTTTCGAAAACAACTAAAAACTTGCCATTAGAGCATCTTTACAACTCTTCTCTTCGTCAACAGTCATTCGTTTTTCGTTTCTCTTCATATATCTTCGCTTCGCAGCTTGTAAATTAAACCATACATAACTGAATTCTTTTACATAGGGCAATAACGCTTCCACAAAAGGATGAAATTCGTCCTAAAATACGTTCTGTTCGCAACATCAAAATTAACTTGATATGATTTTCGCTATTACTATTTTGAATTAAACATTATTTAACTTAAGTTTCACTTTTACTTCGCATCGAATATGAAATCAAGGCTTTCAGAGCAAACAGACGACAGTAAAAATTGATAACTTGCGGAATAATGTTTTCAAACGGCTAGAAAGTAGGCCAAAGAAAACCAGTCTTTATATATTTTCATAAATACTGAATGAACAAACCACATTGCCGGCTGGATATTGACTACTACATAACGGATAGTCACTGATACTATTTGCCATAACTGATCAGTCTTTCTTCTCGTATGAAACAATGAACGCATGGCACAACGGTATTTTTACCGTTTTGCAAATGTTTATTGGCTTTCTTTTCTGCAATTACATATTCAATGATTTTTCATTGAAAAAAAGCTATCAAAACACACTTATGATAAGTGGACTGTTAAAACGGAATTAAAAAACTACAAGGAGCTAAATCATATGGATTAGAAAGAATCAGAATTTTCCACAAAAATTAAACGTTATTAGAGGGAAGCTTAAGCTTAAATTTAATTCAGCTTACTATAATTAATCAGTAAAAACAAAATGTTCCAAATTAAGGCTGAAGATGTTACCCTAAATATTCCAAAAAAGAAAAGTTTAACATTCAGCATTTTAAATTTTACTTAGAATGCCGTAAACGATCATTACAATACTTAGTGATGAAAAACAATTTAGAGTTCGAAAAGATAAAAACAATGCAAACAATAATATCACTCAAACTTCAACAGGTTCCATTTCTGTTTGGTTTTTTCGTACTTCCGAAAAAGCTGAATGGAAATAAAACTTGTAAGGTTTAAATTCATTATTAATTATTATAATTACTTTAGTCTTATTCTTTAATCAACAAAATCATTCCGGAGCTTCACACGATTAGCAAACATTATCATGATAAATACTAGTACAAATATCACATTATAAGCAATCATCTACAAGTAGTTATTTACTTATAAAATGACCTACATCACGTACGATTTAAACAAAACAGAACAAAAAGATATGATACATGTTAGTTCTACGTAATTCACTCATTTGCTTCACGTACTGTATACAAGCATTTCCGCACGTTACATGTACAGCATATGGACGATTCGACATATTTTATAGCTCCTACACATACGAAATCTTAAAGCGTAAAATTTACAAAAAAATTGGCAAAGTGACAAATCGGTGAAGCTTTTTGGCAAGATGATTGTTATAGGCGTTGAAAATCAAAATTAATGGATACGGTGTTCACTGCAAGACTCTTCATATAGAACAGCCATCTATCCGAGAAATTTTTGCAAAAATTGAGAGGAGGGGCGGGCATGTGAGGCCGATGGATTTCGTTTGAAGTTTGGTATTTTCTGATAGAGACTATGATATTTGATGCTACCACAGAACTCAATTTCCGTCTTTGATTTCATCATTTTTCTGATACAAAAATTGTCTCATAATTTTTCTGACTTTTTGTGATTTCTAATAAAAACAATAGGTTTTCGTTTGTCATAGGCATATTCGAAATAGATATGCGATTGTATTGGTTTAAAATATTTGAAATTTAAGAGTTATTTAGGCCATAATTGCTGGTAACATCATTACTGTTAGAAACGTCCATGGCTGCTTAGGAAGAATTTTATCGTTGTTCAATGATGAAAAAGAATGAAGTTAGCTAACATGATGAAAAAGAAAATGAAATTCAAAAGTTGGAGATACAAAAACTTACTTTTATCCGAAACTGGAATTAAGTAGTTCATGAATAGTTCTCAATTTGCGCAATTCTCATTAATCCAGCGCATCCTTTTTTTCAATTTGAAATTTTGTATAATAAATGGAGCAGCATGTCAGCCGCTCCTGACAAACCGATTTCTCAAACAACACATCATTGCCTGTTTACACATTGGCACTTCTGCATGAAAATGGAATACAGGGTTATTTTAACTGATCAGGCTATCAGTGTCTACTTTTTGAAATTTTCATCGTCCAATTTCTGAAAACTACACGTTGTACTGTTTGTTAATTTAAAATTTCTAGTCTGAATGGTATGCTAAATTAACCAAATTATTTTAAAAAGTGACACATTTTTACATATTTCGAAGTATTTAAATTATTAAATTAGCATGCACTAAATATTGCATTCCTTAAAAATGACACAATTTCTGGTGATAGTATAAGTTAGAATTTGAATATTGAAATGCATAAATAGCAATTAAAATGTGCTGAGTAGTAAACAAAGATGGAATGAATAAATTAATGGCAAATGATATTTTGATTATACGGAGATTTAGAAAATGCACTCGTTTCAGTTATACGAAATAATAATAAAACGATTTTAAAAAACGCAATTTTTTGCAACTTTCAGGAGAATGGATGAATAACGTAATTAAAATGTTAATCTTTTTCATGATTATGTGATAAATGACTATAGCAAATATTTTATTTTTACATATGAAATAATTTACCTTTTCTCCATGAAAGATTTTAGATTATTATGACTTGCCAACTGAAAATTAATTTACAATTTAATGCTGCAAATAATGTAAGAAAAATGTTTCATGTAAAGAAATAGTGACTTTTTATTAAATCCCGTTAAGTTTGATACTAATAGGAGATTAGTGATTTAAAATCATATAAAAACAAGCTTACATATAAAGTCGATTTGTCCGACCTGACATATACGTATGCTTTTATACATACATTCAAATTAAATTGAACTTAGGAATTGTACGGTTTAATTATTAGTTCAGAAAAATAGTCTTCACATTCTTTGTATCTTTCTTTCCTTACTAGTAAGGAGAATTTCGTTTGGTAAAAAATTCCTTACTGTTCGTTTGATCAGAGAATACCCTTCGACATTAACTGCCTGAACAGAAAAAGCGACAAACCAAGAATTAAAAAACGTTTCAAAATGTTCTATAGATTACTGAATTAACATATTTGGTATTGAATTGCGAGAACAGCAGAGCTGAAATAAATGTTGAAGCTTCCTAATGTCCTAAGGTCTTCTGGCTAAATCTATTTACCTTATATCCACCAAATGTTACGTTGCTTACAAATGGGATGACCTAATGAAAATAAAATCATTGAATGAAGGCACAAATTTCGTTCAATTTGAGCGAAATAAAAGGTTGTTCAGATAATATTAAAATATTATAATGAGAAAATTATTGCAATAACAAAGACATAATTTTTATATCGAAATATTACAATGAAAAATTAATATCACAAAAAAAATAATTCTTGATTCATATCAACAATTTGGCGTAATTTTTAACTTGTATTGATTTAATCCTTCTTGTTCAAGTGAACTTTTTGTGACGTTGTGTATATTTTTTTTTCAATTTTTTCTTTTAAAAATATTATTTGCTTTAATAATTTTAAAAATGTTATAAT